ATTTTTAAATTTTATTTTAATTAAAACATACTTTTGAAAATTTAAACGAAAAGTGCAAAATTTTATGCTTTCACGCTCATGATTATGATAATTGATGTATGTGTCTGTGCATAATAGAGAAATTAATTATTATTATTATTATTACACATTTTTACTCTGAGCTAATTTTAAGTTCATTTTTCTTTATGCTTAAACTTTGTATGTATAATTTTTTTTTAAATAAATGTTTTAAGCATAAAATTTTACAGGGTCTCTTTAAAAAAATTTTATTTTCTTTTTTATTTTATTTTTCAGTTTTTATAATCAAATGCTTGTATTTTGTATGTATATATATATATATATAAATTCAACATAAATACATTTAAGCTCTTATATCCTTCAAAAGAAAATCCGTCTCTTATTCCTATTATTTAACTAATTTGTGTTTATATTCACTAGGAACAGGACAGGGCCATACCAGATTTGTCCTTTTATTTTTTGTCAAACATGTCGTTAATAAATATACCCAACTATTTTTTTTTACACGCTGATACGTTTCTTAGAAAACCTTGCAAAAAATTACATGCGAGATATGGTAAATTTGTAGATATGTTCCACAACTTGGAAAAATCTCATTAAATGCAAAAAATTCTAAACTCTTTTTCCCGAAATACCGTGCAAAAAAGTGATGATGAAATCCATATTACATATTTATAAAATAAAAACGATTTTTTCTACAAAAAAAAAAAAAAAAAAAAATTAATAATAGGGCAAAAATTTAATTTGAAATTGGGAATGACAATCAATTTCGCAACTATTCATCGTTACTAGATGACAAGCGTATATTTCTGGTCGGCGTAAAATTTCCTATTGGTCTATTAGTCTGCCGCTTTCTTTGAGGTACTTATGGAATAAAAATCTCTGAAACTTGACACGTAAATTTTGAAATGAAAAATGGCTCTGATATTTTTCTCCAGACGCCACAAATATTTTTAATTTTAATTTGAAATTAAAGTTAATTAAAAAAGAATAGCAAAACACTAAAACGACAGAGTTTATGTAAAGAATACTTTCAATCGGTTTCGAATTACTTGAACTTGACGAGGCTTAAAAATATTGGGATAATGACACAAACAATAATCCTCCAATTCCAGAGCGTCATCGTACGAATTCAATCGTTGCTCAAGTTAGTAGCAAAGGAAGAAGGAACGCTTTTATCATTTTAATTAATTTCCAAATTCGATAGACGATTTTGTTTCAATTAAAAAAAATGTAAGATCAACTGTAGTGTAAATATTATAAGCTATTTATGAACGGATCAAGTTTAACATTTCAATTTAACCCTGCCAATGGTCAATGTTGCTATTTGCTAACTATTATGTCGAAAAAAGTTTTGGTGTTAAAGAGACCTGTGGAGCCTATGAGGACCAAAGTCCTTTGATCCTGCGCCTCAATTAAATTGCTTCTTATGTAGATAGGTTTTTTAAGTTTTATTTTATTTATTCGATCCAGTAAATGGAAAGGCAATAGTTACCGTGAAGCGTGATTATTGTACTGATTTGCAACTTCTGTCGAGTCCAAACATAGAAACCGTAGATATTGACGCATATTATACTATGTGAATAAGCTTAATGAGACGTAATAAATGATCTTGTTGTATAATGCTAGTGAATATCGGTTTCGTTTTCGGATGTATCTTGGAACGCCTAATATGAATTGAGCCTTGAGAAAACACGATTTTTTGCTATTCGAAATGAAATACAGAAACAAATTAAATCAAGTTTGGGCAGATCAGCATATCCCGGTTCAATCTCCAGTGTGACTATTATTATTATTACCGAAACGTAAAGAAATTCCTTGCAATTTTATGTGCATTTATTTGGGTTTATAGCTAGCTCTCTTATTTTTATTCGTTATGTGATCTGGCAATGCCATTATTAAGAGATAAATTTCGCTCTTTATTATTTTTGCTTGAAAACTACTACAAGTTTATAAGAGTACGATGCAAAACAGTCTTATAAAATATATAGAATAAATTACGAAAAGAAGAGTCGCTAGAAAGAACTTATACCGGTATTTAAAAATGCACAGTGATCCGAAATTAGGCAATACATTGCAGAGAATACTTCGATTTTAATTGAGATTTACAATTGTAACAATGTTAACGAAGTCCAATTTGTGTCGAGAATCGCTTGCCTGTAAAGAGCTATATCGCATTTTGTACGTCAAGTGGAATTTAATACATTGCAGCAAGTAGTGCGAATTTTTTCATGGTCGAGGAGATTATTAAAAGCAATTCTGTGCTCTCAACGAAAGGGATTTTTTTTTTATAAACGATGTAAAGGGAAAAACCCAAATAACGGCTTTTAGCCGTTTTAGCGGAAATTTAACTCAATGGAATTTAGTAAATCATCCAAAATTATGGTAAGCAAGTTAAATTATCTAATAGTTAGTCCACTCGATTGAAAAATTCGTAATCTTAAGTCTCTTTGCTACTTAAATCATTGCGCTGATGTTATTATAGCCGTGTCATTCTTAACGTTTATACAACTTGATCCTTGATCCTTTGGTAGCTTGTAAGACATGTCGCATTGCTTAGTTCTCAGCTTGAAACAACCTTTCCGAGATAATGCACTTTTTTGTGAACTTTAATCCTGTAGATCAAATATCAGTCGAATACTAAAACGATATCCTACCGTCCGTCCTTTCGTCCTCTCAGAAGAAACATATATGAAAATTCACAAACATTTTATCTGTTAACTTTTCGTCGATTAAATTTTTATTAGCCTATTGAATGAAATTGGCTTAGTATTGCTTTTTTAAATGAGCGTTTGAAGGTCCCAAAGAGAATACATGTTCTTTTTATCACAGAATATATTGTAATTGCTTTATCGAGGGTAAGTCGTGGTTTGGCTTTTAACTTTTCTTCCGGCATATTATAAACTGTCAAGCCTTACATCTTCAACTATATCTATTAATTATATCCATTATGGTTGGAATCAATTTGTTGTTATTGACAGAAGCATGAGAACGCCTTTATTCGCAAAATCGTTGCAAGAGTAATTGTGACCGTTCGTGTGTCGTTTTTGAGACACTTGCTGTATGAAAAACCAAAATAAAAAATTTAAGATTAATATTTTTTTGCTGCATTTATAAGTGAACGGAGCAAGACGGAAACCTGGCGAACATAATATTCTCAATTATTGTGTTTATAAAAAATACTTAGTCAGATCCATTATTAACGTTTTCCTACTGAGCAAAGAGAAGTAACGCTAGTGTAAATTAAAAAAAAAATTTTTTTTTGGTTTATTCGTTTTATCACACTACCATCAGGGATTAAATGAAACGAATGTAAACACCATTCACTCCTTCCACCGTTCGCCATTTAAAGCGTTAAATTTAATTGGTGTAATAGAAAGATGATTGAATGTTGCTGAAACAATTTAAACAAAGTCGGCAAAGACGTTTCTTCTTCTCCAAATCGAAGAATTTTTTAAGATCTTATTTCATAAGAAATTAATAAGTAATGCAAAGTATTATACAAAAATATATCTGTTGTTGAGCTGATAGATGCATTGAACATATTAAA